TCAATGCAAATTCTGCTGAAAAGAAGCCATTGAAAAGAAGGGCGCCAAAACTGCTGCTTATCAAGGATGTGTTGGATGCCGGCAGTAAGAATCTACTGCAAGACTCGCCATTCAAGCCAGTCAAGCCCCTGAAAAAGAATCCACCACATTAAGCGCTTCTTGTTGGTGCAAAGGGATGCAGGCTTACGCCAAACTGCCAAGCAAGGGAAGACTTGTGGGTGGATCAGTACAAGTGGACCAAGACAGAAAATGGCCTGCCTTCTTCGGACAAAGAGGAGGGGGCACTGGCCGCTGCGTCATGTTGCCGCCTCGAACGATCAATTCACAATCTTTGGGACTGTACTGTATTGAACAAGCCAACCAAATCAACAGCCGCGGCAAAGGACCCCTTCAGAACTTGCACGATCCCATGACAGCAGTCTCAAGCATTTCACTGCATTGCTGGACCCACTGGCTTAGGTGGCCTATTTGGGTGTATGGGGATTCGTTGCGTACCCCTGGTGCGGAAATAAGGATGGGTATCTCTAAACTGTTCTGATGGTTTCATATGATTACTAGTTCTCTGGGCGATCCTCATTGACAGAATCACAGGGCCTCTCGCATCAGCCTTCTTGGCCTGAAGAATCCATGCTTTGGATTGGCACGTTGTCTCGTCATGTGTTGATTGAAAAAGGAGCGCCTTGGGAGGAGCTTTGAAGATGCCACCTTCCACCTAGGCTCACGGCCAGCAGCTCACGGTCGTCGATGTCTGGCACTCTTTTTCATTGGGCTAACTGCCTCCCTACCGAGTCCATCTGAACTACGACGCGCTTCACGTGTTTGCAAACAAACCATGGACAACTCTCTGCAAAACACGGACACGAGACTCGGAAATGCACCACATATTCATATGCAGGAGGCGCTGGGCTCGGTTGGCCTGAAACAAACCATCCACTTACAAGAACATGTAACATGACTCGTACAAAAGCGTCGGTCCGGAATGTCTTACAAGAAATGTTGAAGGGTATAATACACAGTTGAAGTTGATCTTGCAGTTCAATTCGTCCTGTAATTTGGACTTCTTCCTTGGGCCCTTCTACTAGGGCTTTCTGGGGCCTCTAGGGCCTCATGCAGCATTCTCCTGAATTCCTTCTGGCCTGGCATGTTTCCATGAAAACGACTTCTTTGTTCCTGGAGCTTTTTTGGGAACTAGGCAGTCTAGCTTGTTCTGGGACCCAATGCCTGGCCGCAAAGCTCTTGGAACATGGATAAGTCTTTGATGCTGAAGAATGTATGGCGAACCAATGCCCTAATTCCTATTTGGTTTTGCCTTGGCTCCTTTCCGGATCCTTTCCGCCTGAAACCAGCTGCCACCAATCGTGGAAAGTAGGCATGGGGCATAGCTTCAGCTCCTGAGATGCAAGGAGCCTCTCCCTCGAATAGGAATGGATGCATGCAGCCAGCATCACGGAGGAATCTCCAGCACCAGCAAGGTTCCAACCCCTTTAAAGCGCTCCTGCCCTTGATGTCCATCTTCTTGCGAGAGTGTGAGGAGGTCCCCCTCCCAAGAATGCCAAAGCACACGGCCTGGCTGTGCTCAACAGAAAATGGACCAATTGGAGCAGGCAAAAAGGAGCTCAGATGGTCCCCGGTCCCCTGCCTTGAAGCGTGGAGTGAGACATGCTTTGTGCAAACCCGGACTTTGTGAGACACGCTTTGGGGATACCAGAATTGCTCCTTTGCGCCATACGAAGACCCGAAGACCCCCTGTGTACATGCAGCTAAAGGCATTGAAGCTTTATGGCGAGCAGTCCCGGCTCCAAGTCGTTTCCTACTTGAGTCTGAATTGACCAGGAGCAAGCACGATATGCTCGCAATCAATCTTCGATGCATGCAATCGAACGATGCATTGCCACCAACGACCACATCACACGCCTGGCAGTGCTCGATAGTGCATTGCAACGAGCAAGCAATCCTGACCTTGGAGACTGGTCCGAGAAGTGTGTCTTAGCGAGTAGTTTCAGCGGTGGTAGAGGCGAAGTCATGGTTTCTTCCTTTTCTTGTTTCTTTGTTTCTATTGGCGATGGCCTCCAACCTAAGTGGTAAGAAAACACGCGTTTTCGAATGGTGCGTGTTTTTGCGTTGTGTGCGTTTTTTGTGTGCGTTGGAAAGGCGTTTTTTGGGCGTTTTTTGTGCGTGTGTTCACTGTTTTTGGTTGGTGGCAACCCACATGCATTTCGGTCATGCTGCAAAACGCATCTACTTGTGTGGTGTGTATGTATAGACGATATACATATGTATATAGTATATGTAGATGGTATATACATTTAGCTCCAAGACTGGTCCAGACATTCACTAAAGAAAAATGAATTGGGCAAATAGATGTTCTTTACTAAAGTCATCTTGGCCAGACAATAGCTAAAGAAAAATGAATTGGGAAGATGCTTTTCTTTACTAAAGTCACCCACCACTAGCCCAAATGCGTTTTTT